CCATCGTAATGCTTCGGATCCAGTACCAGTCTTGGCTCGAAGTTCATCCTTCTTTTTTCTGTACTCAATGCCCAAAGAAGACATCCGTCTGGACAAGTCTGCCACGGTAAGATGATAATACCCATGCTTGTGCATGACTCCAAGGATTTTCTTGTAAATCTCGGATGCTCTGTGCTTGCTGTCGTCGAATTCTGGCTTCAGAGCATAGTACTGAGCCAGGAGCAGCTTGTCAGACTTTGTCTCAAATTTTGAAGAGTTATCTGTAAAATAACCGGAGCACTTTAAGCACTTTCAGATGGGGAAAGTATATGACCAATATAAAAAAATGATGAAGGAAATTATCATACCTTCAGGGCTAAAGTCGTCAGGGACAACAATGAAATCAGCAATCACTCTCCTTCCTGGAGAGATGGTGCAAGTTCCTGCTGGTTGCTCCATTTCCTTCCACCTTGGAATCATGTCGCTCAGTTTGGAAATTTGGCCCTTTACAATATTTCGTACTGCTGAGTGTTTGAAAGAGGCAGCAGCCTCTTTCAATTCTGCAGGTGGCAGCTCAGGTAGACTTTTTATTTTCTTTCTCAGATTCTTCTCGCTGTAATAGAGACCCAGACCTTCCAACTCCTTCTTAACATTAGAGAATCCCTTCCCTTTTTGCTGGGTTGAGGTACTAAAGAATAGGTCTATGTTTTGTAGAAGGGACCTCAGCAGCACTGCTTCAGTGTAGAGAGTCCAATCAGATCGGTAGACAGTTTTAGCCATAGCACCACCTGATGTACGACCCATGTCCACATTAGATGTGGTGCTGCTCATAGATAAATTTAATGAAGAGCTGTTGCTTCTTGCCACTGGTCCATCATGCGATTTAAATTTGACCACTTGTACTTTAATATTTCCAACGGGAATGGAGGAAGCATTCAGCAGAGCTTCAGCAAATAGTTCCTCTGTTAACTGAAACAAGAATAAATAAAATAAATAAAAATGAAGAACAAACAAGAAGAAATCAATTATTGCACAGCAGCAAAAATTACTTCTATTGTAGCTTCTGATGGGGAAGCAGTGGCTTCACAACTTTTAACGCATTCTGTGCCATTTTTACAGACCCCATTTGACGAAAGAAAAATGTTGATTTTATGTTGTAGGTATTCCTGTTACGGGAAAAAAAATTAAATTACTGCACTACTACTATAGAGGAAGGTCTAAAGAAATAAGTTGTGACTTTATACATACCATGTCAAAGTCTGTTGGCAGGCCCAAGACTGATAATTTATTTTGGTTTTCAATTGAAGCAACCTTTGTACACACTTCATAATCCTGAAATTGTAAAAGGTGCTTTTGGCTGTACCGAAACTCTTTGCATTTCAGTAGCGCAGATGAATAACAAAGCTCTGTTAACTAAGAACAATGGCATTACTCATAGCAGATAAAGATGAGGTTCCACAAAAAAAATTAATTCAGGGTGAAGATGAAATTTTACCTCTACAACTGTGGCTGATTCACCAGGTTCAATATTTAGCACACACTTTTCATTTTCACGAGATAACTTCCTTTGAAACATGAATAAGTTAATTTTATGTTCTAAATACTCAATATCAAAGTCTGATGGAAGGCCTAAGACTGTCACTTTTTTGGTGTTTTCATCAATGAAAGATGTCTTCTTGATTGTTGTACATTCCTGGAATTGTATAGAGCTTGTCTTGTACTGAATTTTCTTTGCTTGAAGTAGAGCAGAGGCATAACGTTCATCTGTCAACTAAAACAAGAACAGTAAGCATATCACAGTGGAGAAATTAAACAAAAATACATAACTTACACACAAGCTGTACAAGCTTACCTCTACCACAACTGTTTTGCCCTCAGATTCCACATCTGACACACAATTTTCTTCTGAGCCTGACAACTTTGCTTTTTGGAAATAAGTATTGAGTTTCCATGTTAAATACTCCTACATCAAGTGAGAAGAAGAAACCGTTTTCAGATCACATGCGTCAAGAGCACCAAATAGGAAATAATGTTGTCACAATACATACTACATCAAAATCAGATGGGAGGCCCAAGACTGACACTTTTCTTTGGGTTTCAACAATATCAGCCTTCTTGGTGGGCGTTTCATAGTCTACGAACTTTACAAGGCACTTAATACCGTCGTGAGGACTGTAGAGAAGTTCTTTGGCTTCTAAAAGGGCTGCAGCATGATCATCATCTGTGAACTAAAAAAACAAAAAAATTACTCAGCAGATTGAAATCACAGAGGGATTGAGTAAGGGATGTACAGATGGAAATTCACCTCTACCACAGCAGCTGTTTGGCCAACGTCATAAACATTACTTATACAGCCCTCTTTGAAAAGAAGCATGTCAGATCGTAGCAGACATTCAACTTTAAATTGCAGATAATCCTGCATGAGACACCAAAGAGAAAAAAATGTAGCACATTTACAGATAACGCCCAAATAAATACTCAGTGTGTCAAGTACATACCACATCAAAGTCTGGTGGAAGATTTTCAACCTTCACCTTGTACTTTTGTCCGATGAGCTGGTTGGAGTTGGAGTTTATTGCAGCCGAGTTAATACTCTCCTCAGAAGGAACATATGGTTCATCGTCATCTTTACCTACTTCTTCACTGTGCTCAGTAAGACCTGTTGCATTCATACCCTGCAACAAGCAAGCAAAGTTTCAAAGTTCAGTACTTCAATCACTAAAAAAAACTAGGGGCATTCCCCGCATTACCTTCACAACTTCCATTACAATGTCATCTTCTTGATGGACCTCACCGATTGCAGTAATGTCATTGTACACATCACTGAACGGGTTGTCAGCAGGTTCGAATGTGACCAGCGTTCTGCCCACCTTTATTTCTTTTAGGTCCAGAACATCTTGCATAGCTTTTTCAGTCTCAAACTACACCACAATAAGGAGAGACAGGAACAATTACATTTGGAAACCCAGAAAATAGATTATATGTTAAACAGAAAACAACTTACATCCAGAACAGCCCAGTTGTCCTTCTGGTGAACACATTTTGATACTGTTTTGATTTTTTTTGAGTAGGTGCCAACATTTTTAATTTGGACACCTCTCTCAACAGCATTTAAAAAATTAGTCTGCCGACAAAAATAAAGTCAGAAGACAGTTCAAAAGTAACACTTCAAACAAGGCATAAAGATAAATAAGATTACCTGCAGGAAAGGCACTGGCGTGTTAACTGCTTTCACTTGAAACACTATACCAAACAAATTCTTCTTAGAATTAATAGGAGTTGAGGTCGAACCCCTAAAATTACGAAAAGATTCGGGAGTTGAAATTAAACAACGCCGTTTGGCATTATTCTTGCTTCTTTCGCAGGCCATGTTTCACTTTACCAACCCTGCTCACTTGTCAATCCCCACTAGTCAAATGCAGCAAGTGGAACTCTTGTGCTCATGAGCACCGGTAACAGACAACAGAAGCAACAACAGACAAGAGCAAAACCAACTTCGAATAGTGGTTCAGGCTGAGAATAACGAATCCGCCTCTAAGCGCAGTCCACGAACACCACGAAACACCGCTGCTCTTGTCAGTGGATTGAAAGAACCAATACACCTGCACAATCGTCATCCTTGAACCTTCCCCTTTCCAAAAATGTATGGGTTCATTCACTTTATTGCATATTTAGCCTCTTTACAGCCGTTTACAGCTCCAACGGCCGCTCGATCGATCGATCGGTCGACCGATCCACCGATCCGCCTCTCTTAAAGAGATAGCGCTACGGCGCCGGCGCGCGGCGGGAGGGTAGGGGCATCCCGGTACTCCCTTTGAATCTTGGTGACTTTGGTGGGTCTTCTCTCTGGTAATGCTTAGTCATTTTGACCATGTTCTTTAATCTCGTCAGTCATATAAGTGTCTTGATCACAGACTGGAAGCCTGGATTATAAATTTATACATTAAATAATTTCTGCTTGTCTGAGACTGAACTACCAAAACAAGTAGAGGGTCGTGGTGTGTCTGTCTAGTACATTTTTCTTGGAGGTCGGAGGTCAAACAGAGTGCTTGTATTGTTAGTGTGTTATAACACATTTGCTTGCTGTCTAGATTAAAACGGTTTCCTTTCCAAAAAATTTGTATATATTTATCAAATGATATGTTTGGGTCTCTACAATTTGTTGTACGTGTGTCGACATAAATGAAGAAGTAGATTAAAGATTCAAATAAATCATATTGCATATATTCCAGTATGTCACTATGTCACACAATGTGTGTAATTAAAATAAGCCCCCTAAGCACTAAGCAGTCAATATTTAAGAATCATAAAGTTGACGTATTTCATGATCAAGCATAAAATAAGCAAAAAATATTTTTGTAACTCTCTTACTTGTATTTGTCAGTTACTTTATTGTTACTAAAACATCCACATGTAAACACCTCCAGGCCTAATAAAATAATTAGAAAAGCAAAACGCAGTATGAGAAGAACTGTTTTATTTTCAAAATCATAATTGTTACAATGTCACATATATTCAAAGATGCTTTTAGAACAGCGCAGACATCTCCGCATCTAACAAATGAGAAAACATCCAAATTTCACAAAGTCAATCTGAAAGACATTTACTCATTGCTCACGGGATTTAATCGAGGGATTTTGGTCCAACAACCAGTGGACCCCTCTTCGTTGTCCCACACACCCTGATCCTGATGGCAGCCCTCTGCACACGCTCCTTCACATGCAGCCCTGTACTCGGGAGGGCAGAACCGGCCTGCACACACAAGCACATTCAGCGACGGGTTCAACGACATCAAGGTTTGTACCGACTCGTGGTGCAGAAATCGGTGGGCGCATCCACTGCCATCCGCTTCCCGGGGCTGCTCTTTCAGAGTCCGCAGGGCCGGGGCCGAGGCGGGCGTGATGGCCAGCAGCAACTCGTCCTTAAACTCGTCCACCTGCAGCGTGCGTAGGTCTGGCATCAAGGGCAGGGCCTGGAGCAGTGGTCCCAGCTCACTGGTGGGGTCTTGAAAGAAACCAGCAACCTCGTCCTCGAGGTCAATCGTCAAGGACTCAACGCGGGACGGGCCACGTGAGACCAGGGCCAGGACTAGTCGGTCGCCTTCGCCTTCGTAATTGTACATGCCCGTGTTAGATTTCCTCAAGGCGACCTCGCGCAGCTGGGTGGCGCGACGCAGGAACTCCTTGGCCCCTTGCATGCCAGCGGGCTCGTTGTTCACGCAGAGTGTGACCACCCTCAGCGACCCGCACGCCGCCACGGCTTCCAGTCCGGGGAGCAGAGGGCAGCGGAGCACGCGCAGCCTCGGCATGCCGGCGAGCTGGAGCGTGATGCCGGCGGGGTAGTGGTCGCCCTCGAGCTCGAGGTACACCTCTTCCAGGGTGGCGGCGTGATCGGCCAGCACCACGCTGTAGAAGGGCTGCATATCGGTTGAAATGCAGCGGAGACTCTTTAGAGACGACCGGGGGACAGCCCTGTCCTCCCTCGGCGGGGGGAGCCGGAAGTTGTTAGTTCTGCTCCACAGTTTAACTACAAGCTTCTCGAGGCCAGACATCGACGCCACCGCCCAGATCAGCTCCTCGTAATCATGGACGGCGTCTCTTGTCGGAAACAGAGTCAGGTGGAGGTCCCTCAGCCTGCCGAGCGCCTCCTGGTGGCGGATCAGCTGGGTGGCGTGAATCGCGCCATCTCTCTCCACGAACAGCCTTAGCTTCGACACGGCGCACTTGGTGCTGTACAGCGTGGACGACAGTGCCGACGGCACGCTGGTCTGAAGGCTTCTCAGGCGCGGCGCCAGGCGCAGCGTCGGGCCCAGACGGGCGTCGCCGTCGCTGACGGACTGGTGCCGCCAAACGCGCACATCCTGGGCAAGAGCCCCCAGCCTCTTGCACACGATTTGCAGCGCGATGAGGTCCTGCACGCCCAGATACTCCATCGCCATCAGCAGCAGCTCGTCAGGCAGCTGATCCAGCTCCATGCTGTGCAAAGGACACGGTCAGAGGGTTCTACAGTCAGCGCGGGAGAGCACACGGCGGGACTGCCGCCGGGGCGGGGCGCCAGTGCGCCAGCAGACAACAGCACACACTAAAGAAACCTACCCTACTGTTCGGTTAGAGATGACTTGGTGGCGTAGCGTCAGCGTCTGATGACCGTCCCGGTCTGGAGGTGGTTCTCGACTGAAACGAGGCTGGGGTCGAGTGAGTGACCCACCTAGTGGCCGGGTGGGGAAAACAGGGCTGAGTTTCTGTGAAGGTTTTACCCGCTGTTGCTTTCTTCGCAGTGGTTTTACCCACGATGGTGGCAGGTGTGCAACCCTACACCGTCCCCTGTCCCTGTTATTGCATCCTGTGTGTGTGTGTGGGGGGGGGGGGGGGGGGGCTACTACACGTCGCCTGAACCAGTCAAATAAAGGCTCTAGGGTGCTTCCACGATGTAGTTGTGCTTCTGAGCTGGGCGACTAAACAAAGCCTACGACCGATGTTTGGCAGGTCGGTGTATAGTGAAAGCAGACAGGGATAGCCTAATTCTTGATTCCGCGTACCACACTAAACTACGGCAGTAACAAACAACGACAAAGAAAATAGTGGCGACGAGAAGGGAATAATGAGTACAGTGTAAAGAGCCAAACACAGAGAACGAGAAAGGATCGTAACGAAACCTCAGGCCCGTCCACCGTGGTGACCACACAACACTCTCTGTGGCTTCACCCCCCCCCCCCTCCACCGCCAACCGCTATGATCCGGGGGCAGCTTTACCAGAGCCACCTCCAGAGCCCTCCTGATCCTCGTCATCCTCTCCGCCCCTGGAGCGCCCCCCCCCCCCCCAAGCGGGAGGCTGGAGCTGGAGAGGCCGGGAGGGGCCGTGCCCAGGCCTCGGCGCCTAATGACGTGCTCCTGCTCCCGGCTTGCGAAGCTTGCGCCCAAAACTACTCGTGGCAAATGACGTGTATTGTGGGGGCGACAAAGAATGGCTGCCGGGGCCGGGCGGCGGCGGCGGTGCATGGCTCACCTCCCCAGCGACGTCCTCGACCGACTCGTCGTGCAGGTCCCCGTCCTCGCGACCAACTGCTGCTCCCGTCAGGGTGGCAGGGCCACCGAGGCGTTGGTCGCGGTGGCGTTGAGCGCCGACTGCAGCGCCGGGTCCTTGTACTGCATCAGCACCACCAGGTACGTGATGGTGGAGCCGATCACCTGCCGTCACAAGTACGCCGTTCCAGAAGAGCTCACAGATGCGCCGCAGACCCGTCCCAGATTTTAGCAGACGGCCAGTCAGACCCCCTTCCCCCCTTCTTCTGCACCCAACCCGGAGGACGCAGAATGCCGCAAGCGGCTTTGAGGAGCGCGCGCCCACTGGAGGACCCCCCCCCCCTCCAACGCACCGAGAGCAAGAAGCCGTGGTCCATGGTCCCCAGCCCGCCCATCGACAGCCTGATGCCGCGCTTGCTGTTGCGGAGGATGCGCTCCACCTGCGTACACAGTGAGAACGACAAAGGTTGCTGTCAAGTGAAAGTCGTTTCGATTTCGGTTGTTTGAATAAAAGCGGGAGAGGGGATCATGTATGCTCTGTCGTCTGCCTGATCCCCCCGCCCGATACAGACCAGAAGAATCTCTCTCTCCGGCCAACGGCTCGCGTCCACCGCTCCGAGTACGCACAGCGTCCTTTTGGACTGCAATCAAGAGAACGCGATTGTCAACATCGGGGTGGCCCCGCCGCCCCAGGGCGTCCCACCAGTCACAGCCTCAACCGCACGACGACGCCGACCTCCTGGTAGAGCGTGTCGCCCGCCATGGAGTGCACCACGATGCGGTTGAAGCCGTTGGCGAGCTGCATGGCGAGCGCGGCCAGTGTGCCGGCGTGCTGCGAGCCGAAGTTCTCCACGGAGCGGTAGAGGACGAACGAGTCGGTGACGAGCTTGACGCGGTGCCGCACCGAGTTGCACGCCAGCGGCAGGCCCAGCGCGCCCGCGGTGCCCAGCGCGCCCACCTGCGGGCAGGCGGGCAGTCCCGGCGCGCGCGCCCGTCAGCTGGGTGGCCCACCTCCCGGGCGCCCGC